GGGGGGAGGGGGAGGGAGGGGGGGGGGGGGGGGGGGGGGAGAAGAACTTGTGGGTTAAGATAAGAACAGTTTAATAGAACAGCAAAGAAGAAACTAATTATGATAACACTAATAAAATGACAATAGTAATAATAAAAGGATTGGAATGTACAAGTGATGCATAATGCAATTGCTCACCACCCTCCGACCAATGCCCAGTTAGTCCCTGAGCGGCGATACCCCCCAGGCCAACTCCCCCCAGTTAATATACTGGGCATGACATCACATGGTATGGAATACCCCTTTGGCCAGTTTGGGTCAGCTGCCCTGGCTGTGTCCCCTCCCAACTTCTTGTGCCCCTCCAGCCTTCTTGCTGGCTGGGCATGAGAAGCTGAAAAATTCTTGACTTAGTCTAAACACTGCATAACACACTGATGTTTTTAGCTGTTGCTATCAACTTTCTTCTCATACTGAACCCAAAACACCATACCAGCTACTAGAAAGAAAATTAACTCTATCCCAGCTGAAACCAGGACAACGGTCTTTTTAGAGGTGTTTTTATTTTAGGAGGAAAATGGAATCTTGTTTTGAACATGTCCCTATTTATTTTTACAGCTGTGAATGGAATATTTACAATATTAAATATGCATTGGCCATTTCACAACAGCGGGGCATGAAACGTCTGGCAGAAGAAACATCAGTAGATGAAGAGGACTTGGATTCTGACAGTGATTATCTTATGCAAGAAGTTCATAAAGACAATTTTAGTTCCTAGTTACTCTTCGTGAGAGGGAGAAAACCTAAGACAGTAATTCTATGCAGTGGTATTCACTGATAATGAGTGGCCCTCATAGTGGCATAACTGAGGTCTTCTTAACAGTGTGGATGGAGTTGCATGTGAGTTAGCAAGGGAAATGTAGAATAGGCATAGTGCCATCCATGGCATATCTGGTGTACCCTCTGGCCGTAACAACTTGACAGCATTGATTTCTTGATTAAGTGATTTTTTTTTTTTTATTATACCTGATTTCAAGTAAGAAAAAAAAATGTATTCTTATATCGGTGAAGTTAAAAGTATGACTGGAAGAAGTGCATTCTTTATTAAAAATGCATTGTACATAGATTAAGTATTGTGAGTTTTGTAATGCAAAATGTCTTGTCATACTTTGGACTCTTTTTTTATCCTTTTTTAAAATCATGGGAGAAAATTTACTGGGCTTTACAGCTTTTGCAGAGGTTTAATTAATAATCTTGAGATACTGTAGTAAAAATTGGTTTGGAAATTACCACCTCAATAATGTAACTAAAATTGTAAGAGAACGTGTTACAAATGTTTCTTTTTCTGATGAAAGCCCTTCCTTGTCTTGTTTTTTTTTTTTTAATGTTATTAACATACTAAAATCTGAAACTTTTGATTTCCTTGGTTTTTGTGAATTGGCTAATAACAACAGTGAGGTCCTGAATACAAAGAATTATATCCATGCTTACAGTACTTTCACGCCACATGTTGAAAGGGCTTTGTTAGTGAAGGTACTGCAAATATTAACAATGAGCCAGAATTGATTATTTTTTAGCGTATTCTGTTCTGGATTTGTTTTCTAGTCAGTTCCCATTCTTGGAATAGAGGAGAGGTATGAATATTAAAAACTGTTGAATTAAAAAGTAAGTCCAAAATATACAGCAGACATGGATAGTCAGTTTGTAGAATTTCAGTAGATAAAATAAAGATGCACTTGCTACTTAAATGTAGCAACGTGATTTGTTTTTCTTATGGTAAAACGTTTAAAAATATCTTCTTCAGTTGCTGGTGCTGCCTTGCCTCCTAACATTTTAATGGTCCTGCCAATGTTTCAGGGTCTCAGAGGTGTGAAGGTGTAGCTGGGCTGGAGCGATGCTTGCGGAAGATGCCCTGTGGTATTACGATGGGATTTGGAATTGCCTGTCATTCTTCACCCTTCTGCCTCCTCCTACCGTGGCAGAAAGTAGGCTTTCCCCCTGAGGTAGAAGGGAGGCATAGGTGGGTAGGGAAGAAGTAGCCCAGGAAGAAGACAAAAATCCATCTTCAGATCCTTGTAAAACTGAAGTGTTTAAGCTAACATGAAAGACGTGATCGTGTTCCCTAACATATAGCATAGTTGTTACTTCTTAATCTGTTTTACTGTTTTTCATATACATGTCATCTTTGCACGCTTTTTTAAAGACCGTATTCTTTTGCCAAACTCTATGACCCATAGCAGACAGGCTGTAATCATTCTGGGACTGTCGCAGCAGCAGCTATGTGCTCTGTAAAATAGGAGTTGTGCTGTTCTATGAAGTTGGCTAACTTGATCCCTAAATTTGTGTTTGTCTCTTGGGTTTACAGTGTTAGAAAACACAGGATGTGGAGGAGATGTTGTTCTGAAAGGCCACATCTTAGAAACATGCTTTTGGGTTATTTTATTCTTCACATTCAACACTTTTCTGAAGACGAAAACTTCACAAGAAGTATGTTTTAGAAAGTGCAAGAGCCTTGAGAGGAGGCGAGAGGGGTGGTGTCGCACCGGTTCTTGTATACAAGGATGTGTTCTACTCGCATTGGTTATTTTGCTTGAGCTATAATAAGCTTTTAGGTAATCAAGACAAATTTTATGATGCACATGAAAGCCGATACAATTTTCCAGTGTGCCTTCCATATTAATGGGAAGAGTAATGAAAGCTAAACACCAGGTTTTAAGTCTGGTAGGTCCGAAGTTTGGCTTGATACTTACTACGTACCAGTGACGAAGCTTGGCACTGCTGAATGTTTCTGCCATCCTTCACTTTTGAAAGCAATACACTATTTCACGAGGTCCTAGAAAGAAAGAAAGGAAGGAAGCTGTTGCTGTCTGTTTATCCTCTTTTTATTAACTGCTCTGGTACCGCTGTGCTCCCCTGCCGCGCTCAGGCGGTGCGCACCCTGCGCCTACCCCCTCTCACTTGCAAAAGGCGCCCGCTGCTGCTGGGCTTGTGCTCAAAACCGATCCCGGGGGTTTATTTCCACTCGCGTTTTGCTTTTTTTTTTTTTTTTTACTATTACCCGGTGGGGTCCGGGAAGGGACCGAGGGCCGGGCAGGCCGCAGGGCCGGGCAGGCCGCTGCCCCTCCCCGCCTCCAGGGGGCGCCCGCCGCCGCCAAGGGCGCAGCGGCCTCCGTGCGGGGCGCGTCCCGCCTTCCTTCCTTCCCCCCCGCCTCAGCCCCGCGGCCTGCC